CGTAGAAAGGCCAAGGTACAGGCCCAATCTACGCCCAAACGACATAACATCGCTCAACCAAACGAGCATGAACGACAGTGCCCGACATGGACATCTCAATCGAGCTCCACCGTCGAAGTACCCGTATGGCAGAACACCCAGCTCGTGATGGGCAGTTCACGCCACGGGCAAGCGACCCCAATCCGGGTCACACGCCCGAGTAAGCGGCTTTACTCCACACGCCCGACGCATCTCGAAGAACGTCAGACCATCCAAAGGGTCGAAAAGAATCTCTCCTCGAGGTTGTAACTTAGGCGAAATTCACCACAAAATAGCAAGTCGAGCACAAGCATGTCCCGAGGAAAAAACTTAGGCAAATTTGCCACAAAGTGACAGCCGAGCATAGGCGAGACTCGGGGACATAACTTAGGCAAATTTTATCACAATATATGAAAGCATAGACAACGGGAAAATAATCAGGGTCGAAGCAAACATTAATTCAAAAGCTCGTAAGCAAAAAACAAATAGAAATAAATCGACCAAGAAGGCCGGCGATGTTCAGAAATTACAAGAACGGGCACGTAGGCCCAAAAAATATGCACGGGCACGCAAGCCCCAAAAACAACTATCAGTAAATAGGCGCGCAGGCCCGACCAGAATTTTACGGCTAGACTTCCCCGGGGCTACCAGCGTCGAAGACAGGAGACTCGGGCGGAGGCACGACCTGGCCGTCGATGATCTGGGACATGAAGCCCGCCCCTTCGGTATTCAGACCAGGATTCAATAGAGTGAGCTGGCTAACCGCGGCCTCAAAGCCATCCTCCAAGGCGCCAACACAGTCCGTCTCGAGGAGTTGAATCCGAGCGACCAATTCTGAGCGACTCCGCAAGAGGGCTGTCTCCTCCAACTCATCTTCGGCGGGAAGCATGGCGGCCTTCAGATCCTCGACCTATTTGGTGAGACGCCCGTTGTCGGCTTCCAAGCGCTCCCGGTCCAGTCGAAAGTAGTCCCTCTCCTCAGCAACCTTCCCCGAGCTCTCCTTCTCTGTGGCCAGCAACTCGGCTTGCTCGCGGAACATCTCCTTAGAGCGCTCTAGGGCAGCCTTCAACTTTCGAGATCTCACAGCAAGGGCAACTTTCTCCTGCTCCAGCTCTTTGACGCGATCGGAGTTTTCCCCCTCCTCATCCAGGACGACGGCCATCTCGGCCATCTTGACCATCCCGACCATGTTGACGGCTAGATGCTTTCTCCGACTTTCTTTACTTAGCCTCCTAATGGTATCAGCTTCATCGACGCTTACAGTTAAGGGAAACCCCTCGAAGAAGCCCTCCTCTTTAAAACAGGGAGGCAACCCAAAGGACCTCACCGCGCCAGACTCCTCGCCGACTTCCGGCGGGCTCTCTACCCGGTTCCTCTTCCTAAGTATTAGATCAACATGCTGCTCGACATCTTGGGAGTCTGGGGACCCGCCAGAAGCATCACCCGAACTAGTTAGCGGGCCCATCCTCGTCGTCTGAGGAGCCCACACCACTCTTTTGTTGACTTTCTTATCCTGTGTCAACTTTAGAAGCCTCTCCTTTCGCCCGGCCATATGACCTACAAAAAAGAAAACCCGGGTTAGTTACAAGCAAGTAACAGACAAAGAAATTAGAACAAGACTATAAGACAAAAAGTAACCTAGCAGGTTCGCAGCCTGCCCGTAGGACTGATACTCCACAAGCGCCTTTGTATCTATAGGTCGGGCCTCAAAGGTCGGGTAACCATCTTCGTCGAGAATGTCCTTTCCCTCCCTCGTGGCCCACTAGGCAGGGAAGAAACTGTCGACATATCTGTAGAGGGTACCGTAGGCCTCCTCATCTTCGGTGCTCATTCCTCCCGCGGGTGTATGGTAATGCCCAGTGTCATGCTCGTAGTGGCGCGAGCTCTAATGCAAGGGAAACTTAGCTACGCGCCCAACACCGGGAGACCCTCATCGTCCATAAGAGGCTCCCCGTGATCGTTGGTCACCACAGTTTCTTCCTCGTATACAGAATCTAGAGCAGTCTGGGTGACCGGCCGCACGATGTACCATTTGTCCTTGAACCCCCAAACATAATCCATATACATCCTGAACAGCCTCTTCGACTGTTTCAGGGAAACCCAACTGTATCTACCTCCCCAAGACTGGCGCTGTAAATGAAAGACTCTGAAGAAGAGAGGTATGGTCGCCCCAATCCTTAAAAAGCGACACGTCAGCTCGAATGCCCGAAGAAAAGCAATCGAGTTGGGGTGAAGCTGCGAGGGGGCCAGATCCAAATGACTGAAGACCCCGACCTGAAAATCACTAAAGGGGAGCATCAGGCTGAGGTCCTTAAACACGATCTCATACATGGGAAACTCGTACTCTGAGAACTCCGAGCAGATCCGCGCGTTAAGAGATGGTCTGGTAACAACAAAATTTTTCTAGAAGCCCGGCTGACTACCGCCCTGCTCGACGATAGTGTACGTGCTCTGACTGCGCCGACTATAAGCAGAGGCAATCCATCTGGGCTCGGCGCCCACCCACTCTAGCAAAGGATCATCAATGGTATCGATTAGAGTCACATTTTCCTCGGCGCTTTGGTCTCCCACCTCGTTGCGCCCCGAGGAACATGGTTCATCAGCCATTTTACCTACAAAGCACGAGAAACCGATCAATTTGGGAGCAAATCCATACGCTCGCCATAACTGACGGGAAGAAGGGCACGACAAGCCGAGTCATACTCCACACACGATTAAAACATTGAGGATTCGAACAAGAGTCTGGTGTCACCTCCCCGACACCAAGATGCCACGAAGAGACGTCCTACATACTGCCTAAATGGGCCAACATCCCGGCCAGTCACGAGTACGTCGACCTAAACTATGGATATGACGAGCAATATCATGAATCCTAAACCTAGAACTATGAGTTTAGCAGGCAATATCATGAGTTGGGCGCCCAGGACCATGAAGATCCCGGGCAGCATTGCGAGTCATATGCCTAAACTATGCATTTACCGGGCACAAACATGCATTCACCGGACATAAACATGAATATGTCGGGCAAGAATATGAATGTACCGGGGCTAATCCCAGACGCAAATTTTCTAACATACAAATAATGGAAAAAATCACCTACCACAGAGAAAAAACATGAGGGATAAGACACTTACTTGAAAATCAGGAAAGAGGTACGGTGGTGGAGAAGAAAATCGACGACGGAAAGCACGACGGTCCTATGAAAGTCTGGAAAAATAGCAGCAGCAAAGGCAGAGGAAGGAGGAGAAGCGCGAAGAGGAAAAACATATTATGGGACCCAAGGATCCTATTTATAGTGATGACGTGGAATATGAAACGTCACCCCAGGGAACCACGAATTTCCCCTCCTCGACGCATAGTTGCCCTAGGCAATGATGACTCTATATTCAATAGGGTGGCGTCACGGTTCCCAAGGGTTGCCTCGTGTACTCAATGAACACAGCCCGCCGAGAGTCCCCCGAGCACTCCCCGAAAGGAATTGTCTCACGAACGCGACACAAGAGAAACTCTTCGAGCAACCACGGGGAACCAAATATCCTGGCCGAGCATGAGGCCCCGTGACAAAGGCGAGCTGAGATCAAGTCTTAACTCCTGCTCCAGGAGCCACGACTTGGGGGTTCCTGTTATGGACTGGGCCCGGGTTGGCCCAAGAGCAAGAATGAAGGCCCAATCCAAACAACTCTACGAGGAGCGCGTCGACCAGAAGCTACAGCCGTGCCTGCCGCTGCTCGCGAATGCAACGTCCTCGACCACATACAATCCAGCTTGAGCACCCTCCTCGTAGGGCAGACTACGACCGTTACTCCATCACCTGAACTCCGGAAAGACCGCGTCCTCGTCCGTCCGTACTTCTCGCTGAGCATCACCAGGGAGAGGACCACGTGCGGGTCCCCACTACACACGTAGAACCTGACAGTTCTTTTATTGGCCAGTCCTGGTCGGCCCAATAAAGGGACCTTGGCCTCGCGCTGGGGGCTATAAATACCCTCTATTCCTAGAGGGTCAGGTATTCATTCTCTTACCCATATACACACTTTTTGCCTGCTCGTACTACCACTCACTTTAGCATCAGAGTGCCTTGCAGGTACCCCCCCCCCCCCCCCCCCCCCCCCCCCCCCCCGGGTCTCGTTCAACTTCAGCTCGGAGGCAGTCGTGACGGTTCAAGTCTGATCCGGTAAGATCAATACCTAATATCACTTAATTTCTACTATATCATACATAACATCACATCACATATCATATTCATCAAAACATCACATATACTCATAAATACATCACAAATACTCATCATAAATCAATTAAATAATTAAATAATTTAATTACTCTCTTGCATAACCAACACACAAACTCGTATTTAGTTGCGATGACCATTTTATTTTATTTCTTAAAATTTTATCATTATTTTCATTTTTCTTAAGAATAAATAAAATTTAGTGGCAATTTTATATCTATTTTGAGATCATTAACAATTTTTTGAGTGAACCTTTGTATTCCATGTAAGATTTTTGATTGTGTTTATGTTTGTATACATGAACACTTAACATGCGCCCTTGTGTACAAGTTATGACTACCCTAGACTAAAAAAAAGTCCATTTAAATGAGTAAAAGAAAATGGGGCAAAAGTATCTGAAATGATATTAATATAAAATTTAGGATCTGAATCTAGATATGAAATGAATTTTAATGGATGAAATATAATTGAAAAGAATCGTGTCCAAAAATATACAATGGAAGGGAGTGAAATGAATAATTTAAGGAGGGTTAATTGAGTTAAGAAAGAAAAAAAAAAAAGAATTGAAAAAGTAGAATAAAAAAAGAAAGTTGAAGCGAGCTCACCCTCTTGTTGTTAGTTTCTTATCCGAATGAAACGGGAAGAAGAGAAGAAGAAAGAGCGGCCCTTTATCCGTTGAATTTAAGTTCTGTTGTGTTCCGCCCTATGAAACCTCCGAATTACATTTCTCATCCTTAAAAACGGGAAGATAATGTCTTGTTTCTTGCCACACTTTAACACTTTCACAACTCCTATTCCTATCCCTACAAACCGCCATCATCATATCATTCTTCAAAGTAACACTCTTTCTCCCAATTATTCGCTTTTTTATTTTCTCACTCACTCACTCACTCATGCTTTCTTTTTATCTGCAGTTAAATTAAGACGCCCACACTGTATTCTGTCTCCTTCCGCACCATCAACCGCACTCCTTGAATTCGATGCTGCAAACACTCCTTGGTCCTATGTCACTTCTCAGGTAACAACTTCTTTATTCTATTCTAATTCTAATTTTTTCTTTTTAACATTCAATCAATTCATCCACATTTTTTCCCTATCAATTTCATACATATGGAACATTCTCTTTACCCATGCATTGCACGTATAGGCCTAGGTTACATAATAATCTTCTTTTTTTTTACTAGGAAAACTTTAAAGCAGCCTCATCTGCAGAATCACTGCTTACTAGTCAAGACACGGTAATAGCGGAAAGCTTTAAAGCAGCCTCATCTGCAGAATCACTGCTTACTAGTGAAGACGCGGTAATAGCGGAAAACTTTAAAGCAGCCTCATCTGCAGAATCACTGCTTACTAGTGAAGACGCGGCAATAGCCTATGCTGCTTCTGAAGCCCTTGCTCTTGCTAAAGCTGCTGCAAAACTTGCAAAGGATGCAACTCTATTAGTAAAAGACAACCCTCCACAACAGCCGGTGTTTAGGCCACAACTTCCTTCCGCGCCTGAAAATTTACTTCTCAAATGGGTTCAACATATGGAAGCACAAGATGCTGTAGCAGAAGGATCCGTTGCTACTGGACTGGAAATAATGGAACATGTTGACAATACTTCAACCCAAGAGGAGGAGCCTACCTTTGAGGAACTTGAAGACATCGACAAAGAATTGTTGGATAGTATAGATGCAAGATCTGGACGCCAAACGGAAAGAAAAGCTAGAAGACTCAGAGCATCTGGGAAGGCTGCCACTAATATTGTGTCCTTTAGGTCTGGATCCACCAGTAGAAAAAAGCGTGTTCGGACACAACAGGTTGACTATTCTGATCCACTTCGTTACTTGAGAACTGCAACCAGATCTTCAAAGCTTCTTACTGTATCTGAAGAAATTAACTTGTCTGCAGGAATACAGGTAAGCTGATTAGCATGTTACTGATGTTGCATTAGTACTTAGAACAGAGTTAAGTCTACAACCGCGATTTCATCGCAGACATCATCATGGTTTTTGATGTCTCTTTCACCGCCATTGAGATTGCATTAGCCACATTTGATTGCAATCCTCTGCAATAGAGGATCACAATGCTGCTACCATCGTTAGTTAGTTCAACTGCAATATAAAACCTTGTTTAGAACAATCTGGTAAAGAATAAACCATTCTTTTCATGCTCTTGATAGTTCATATGCTCCTAAATCATCCAATATTCATCAATAAATTTTCATAAACTGCTTCTTGATCTTAGGATTTTGATCCATGTAGCCGGTCCTAATTAATGGAATAAGGCTTGGTTGTTGTTGCTGTTTGCTGATTTTGTAAACTAATATCTATATCATTCTTAAAAGTATATCAAAATGCCATAAAAGGAAAGAATGTTAAATGAATAGTTATGCATTTAATCATAGCGGTCAAATGATGTTAAATGAATAGTGAAAGATTTTCCATCTTACGAGATTGTTATACTTTAGAGTTGTATAGATTAGACAGGGTATTATTATTATTTTTTTGGGATTATTGTTTGTAGTTTAACAATCAACATAATTATATTTTACTTGAAGTTTTATTATTTTGCTTTTGTTTTCTAATTCATTTGCCTCTTCTCCTACCAATATAATTCAGGATCTGATAAAGCTCGAAAAACTTCAAGAGGAGCTTACAGAAAAATGTGGTAGCCAGCCCACATTTTCTCAATGGGCTACAATGGCAGGGGTAGATCAGAAGACCCTAAGAAAGAGATTAAATTATGGTGAGCGTTGCAAAGAAAAAATGATTAAAAGCAATATACGACTTGTCATATCAGTTGCTAAGAATTACCAGAAATCAGGGATGAGTCTGCAAGATCTAGTCCAGGTATATTTTCACCTGTATAATATTTTGCTAGAAAGTACGGACATAACAGGGGGTACCAGCCACGGATATAATTTGAAATAGGCACGGGGCTTTGACATTTTTAAATTATAGGATACAAAAAGTGCTATAGTGCAGAACATAAAATTAGTACTAATATGAAAACATAAATCGTAAATCAAAAGGGAGAATTGATATTTTCAGAGTTAGATATGAATCATTGCATTTGCAGATGAAATAAATTTTTATCTATATCAGTGATATTCTAATCTCTAGAGTATAAATAAATTTAGAAAATGGAAGAAAAAATTGTAAAATACAAACAGAAGCATCTTCAAAGTGTCTGACATGCACATACAACATAACATGGCTTCTGTTTCAAAATGTCCATGCTAATTTGATTGTTTTCCTAAATATGCGGTAATTATGGAATATATGACAACTTCAATGGTTCTAGTAATCAGCTACTTAACTATTTTTCCTTGAGTATAGGAAGGATGCCGCGGCCTTGTAAAAGGCGCAGAGAAGTATGATGCTTCTAAGGGCTTTAAGTTCTCAACCTATGCTCATTGGTGGATTAAACAGGCAGTTGGGAAAGCCCTTTCTGATCAGTCAAGAATTATTCGCTTGCCAGTGAGTATCATCTTTATCTTTGATTATTTCTTTGTCCAACCATTACAAACTAAATATGGAAAACCACAAGCTTGTCTTTTTAATACTCCTTTATCCTTAATTATAAGACTCACTTTCTATATTTGTTGTCCCTTAATATAAGACTCTTCAAACTTTCACGTCCATTAGTGACTTATTCACAAAAACACCTCCATTATATTTATAATGACTTATTCACAAAAACACCTCCATTATTATATTTATAATTGCAAAACAATTTTTTTTATTGTTCCTATTATATCATTATATGTAACATTAAATAGATAGTTATCTAAAATTAATACAAATTTTACAAATTATTGCTACAAACATCTTTCTTAATACTCGTGAAATTGTATGGATCTAATAAGGAACAAAGGGAGTATAATGTAGAGATAATTATGTAAAAGTAACACATATTTTATAAATTTATTGCGATTTGCTACAACTACTTCTCTTAATACCCCCAAAATTTGTAAGGTTCTAAGGGAGTATACCTTGGCGGTATTTGAAAATCGCCGAAACACCAACGACTTCTGTCACTCCCTACAGTAGAAGCTCACAGAGTCGCATCCCCCCTCTTCCTTGCTGGTGAGACAACAACCTCATTGATGTTTGTTAGACAAAAACAAGGCTAAACAAATATGAGTTGAGTTTTGAAGCATTCATATAACCATATTTGCTTCTGCTTGTTCTTGTTAGCAACCATCAATTAGGTCATCATCTCAGTCGTGTCAATGAGAAGATTGGGAGCCTCTTCTGGTGGAAGCTTCGACAGCAGTTGGATTTTCTGATGCTTTTAAGTATGAATCCATTGTGGACTATCAGTAAAGTGGCTCACTCTAGAATTTTCTCGAGTCAAAATCGCTCTAATTATTATAACACACTACTTTGCGATATTTTTGGTTTAACAGTTCAACTTGGTGAGAGCAACTTACAAAGTAAGGGAGGCAAGAAAACAACTGTACAGTGAAAATGGAAGACAACCAGACGATAAAGAAATTGCTGAAGCAACTGGGCTGTCAATGAAGACGCTTACTGCTGTTTATTTGGCCCCAAAATCTCCCAGATCTCTAGAGCGGAAAATAGGGATCAACCAGAGTCTTAAACCTTCAGTCTGTCCCTAATCTTGTTCAAATTTGTGATTCAGAAAATATGAAGCTGTTTTTCTTATGATATTCATTTTGCTGATACGTTGGTGTGTTTCTGATCAGGAAGTACTTTCTGCACCGGAAGCTGAAACAGCTGAAGAACAGCTGATTAAGCAGTTAATGAAAAAGGACCTAGAAAAGGTACTAGACTGCCTGAATCCGAGAGAGAAACAGGTGATTAGATGGAGATTTGGTATGGACGATGGAAGGATGAAGGCACTGCAAGAGATTGGGGAAATGATAGGCGTGAGTAGGGAGAGAGTTAGACAAATTGAGTTATGTGGTTTTAGTAAGCTTAAGAACAGGAAGAGAGCCAAACATTTGGAGCAGTATATGAATTTAGGTTATTTCAGGTCCTGATATATTTGTTCTTTTTACATGTATGTTGTTCCTCTACTTTTTCTTTATTATTCAAGAGAAAACAAAAAGGTTATTTCAGTATACTAGGAATCAGGAAATCAATGTAAGCACAAGCAAAATAACTTTTGACCAAGAGTTCACCATTTTTTAATGTACGCTATTGAATTTGAACCAAACAAGAGTATTCAAATTTTGCAAAGGAGTTTGAGAAAAGTATCATTGTGCAGCAGCAGTTGGCTACAGTTTGATGCTCGTAAGAGCCATAGTCTCTGCAGTATGCATAGACCAATGAATTTGCAAATGACTTGATACAGTAGTTATTTTCTGGTCTGTGATGCTTCAAAATTATGAGTGACTTTAATATTTGGCGTTTTTAAAGTTGGTGACTTTGATGATTTTAGTATTATTGAAAGATTTATAAATGATTAAAATAAAATATATTAGGGTTTGTTTGGCCTATGACACTTTTTGAGTTTATAGTTTATAAGTTTATATGATAATAAAAAATCTGTTTGGCAACTGTCTTTTCATCACGAATTTATAGTTTATTTTACTAGTTTATAGTTTATTTTTCAAAGATTTAAATTAGCGTTTTAGCTTATAGTTTTTTTTTACCAGTTGTATTTTATTATTTTAACTAAAATACATTTTTACCAATACACTAGTGAGGAAAGTGTGCACCACTTATTCTTTGTGTGGCAATACACTAAAAATATTTGGTTGCAAATTTTAAGTGGCAGAACATTAATCATATTCCTTTTGGCTGGGATCAAGAAGTGACGTGGTTAATAGGAAGGACAAGGAGGAAAAGCAGTCATGAACAACTGCTGAAAATTTTCCTAGGTAGTCATATAGAGGGTAACAATGTAGATAAATTTCGTTATACTATAAAGAATAGATATAGTAAACATACGACTCTAAGCACCCATATTAATGGTCTTTTTTAACATTGTTCTTTGTGGGCACTTGGATCTCTGGATTAGTTATTATTCCATGTTTTTGGTAAATAAAGTTATGCTTTTTTCTCAAAAAAAAAAAACATTTTTATCCTCTAATTTGTTTTAGTTTCAATTAAAATATTATATATTAAATAATTTTTATGTCATTTTAATGTATCAACTACTTGAATCTCGTTAATTTTATTAAATATTTTAATTAATTTATCAATTATAAATTAGTATCTATCAATAATTAATTATAAACTATCAATTAAATTATCAAGTCAATTAAACCTTAACAATTTTAATAACTTTGATGTTCAATTACACTAAAATAAATAAAATCCCCAAATTTAAATGTCACTAAATTTCCCCCTTTAAACATCGGTTGGATTATGATCGAAATCGGAATCAATTTCTTTTAATTTTATGTGTAAGTACAGTAAAATTCTTAGGTAAACACAACCATAACAAATAATTTTATTCATAATCAATTATAAAATTTTATATAAATTAAAAAATAAATATAACATTTTACACTTTATTAAATATTTGAAGTTTTAATTACGATCTGCTGTCAATAATCAGAATTCTTGCGTATTTATCTGCTTCCATTATAATTCGATCAATGGTCCGTAATAATTTTTTGAGTAATATTCCACTCTAGTAACTATGATATTAAACAAGTTAGATGTGATCCACTTAAACAAATTTTAATTAGCTCACACATATATTAATTGTAATTATCCAAAAAATTGCGTTAAAATAGTATTTAATTTTATAAATGAATGAAATAGTTAATTAATTTAAAAGCAACTTAAATTTTAAAATGACTGGGCTCGGAAATGATGTCTATTTCTGCTTCTCCAACGAAAGGCGTGGAATATTAGTGTCACTCAAAAAAAAAAGAAAAAGTAATATGTTAATATTATTGAATTATTAATTAATTATTGATAATATAAAAAGATTATAATAATATTTAATAAAAGAGGTATTATTATTTAGGCTTGGGGTGTGTGAAAAAGTAAGAAAGAAGTGAGTGTGATTGTGTGTGAAGAAGAAATGAGAAAGACGAAGAAGAGTAGCAGTACTACTTCAGATTCAGAGTATTGTCAAGCACAACAACCACCTGTAACTGCGGAAGAAGAAACAACTCCTCCTCCTCCTAAGCTTGACGATGGTTTCTATGAAATTGAAAGGATACGCCGTAAGAGGATCCGAAAGGTTCGTTCATTCGTTCGTTCATTCATTACCTCTTCACTACTAATTACTAACTCTTTCTCTTTCTTTTTATCTTAGGGTGAGCTCCAGTACCTCATTAAATGGTCACTCACTCTCATCTTCATCTTTCTTTATTTAGACTTTCGTAATTACTAATTACTTTACTTTAGTTGATTAACATGCTTTAATTTAATTAGACAGGCGTGGGTGGCCTGAAACTGCCAACACTTGGGAGCCACTTCAAAATCTACAATCGGTACCCGATCTTATTCATGCATTTGAGGAAAGGTAAACAATCACCTAAACCCTAAACCTTCCTTTTACTTTCTTTTTTTTTTTCCACTCATTTTTCATTTTATTTTCCTTCAGCCTCAAATCAGCTGGTGGTGCCGGAGGAGGAAAACATCACCGCAGCAAGGGAAAACGCACAACCACTCTTCCACCTCACCCTCAACCCCAACCACCACAACCTACTAACGCAGATCCTCCCACTGGCCTTCATGCAGACAATCTAGCAACACATTTCCAGCAAACTCCTGACAATCTTCAATCGCATGGGGATCAGCCTCACCCTCAGCCTCAGCCTCAGCCTGACCGCACCAGAGGAGCCAAAAGGAGAAAACCCGCTTCCGTTAAAAGGTTCAAGAAAGAGGAATGTGCTTCTCATACTCAAACGGTTCATACTAACAATACAGCTGCCAATGACAACTCTGCTGGTGGTAAACCTGAACTGGCCTGGACACCAACTATTGTCAAGATTCTAAAGCCAATAGGATATTCAGCTTCTCTATCCTCCTACATGCAGGATGTTTCCGTTACCTTTATGGCTATGAGGTTACTATCTTTTTCTTAACTCAACTTATTTTCACATACCTTTACTTTTATTTTAAGGCTTTTCTATTTTCTCTTTTCACTTTCTTCACAACAGGAAGCACCGTGTATTTTTTGCATGCATATTTTCAATCACTATTGCTTTCTGAAGTGAACTTAGTATAAAGAAAGACCTTAAACATTTCACCAGAAAACGTTATTTCACTACTTAAGTTCATTTGTCCTTAAACTTTGTTAAATGTTTTTGAAGGTTTCGTTCAATCCCTTGTTACTAAAACTTTTGAATTCTTGCATTTGATCATGTTAAGAATCAAGCCATTTAAGAATATATGATTGCCTTAAAACCTAGTCTCAGGTGCCTATTTTTCTTTGGTTGATAAAAGAGAGGCGAAATTAATGCTCTAACATGCCCCTTCCGCTTTAGTCCTATGGGTTGGAAATAATGAATCCACGAGCTCACATTATGTTTGTGCTGAAATTCACCCTTGGAGGAATCACGGTGGCAACAATCAAACTCATACTGGCTTATTAGGAAAGAGAGTCACTGAGTTTATATCCATAACAAGTAACAAATCCACCACTAAAGGCTAAAAATAATAAGCCATGTATGCTATCTATTCCGTCTTGAAATGCACACCAAGAATACTTATATTGTGCTCCAGCTGCTACTATCAAGTTGCAATAATTTTATATGTATATGTCATACTCTGCAAAGACACAACTGGTGTTATTAGTAATTTGAAATGTTTCTAGAGTTATTTAGAGTAGTCTTAATATCTAATTATCTATGAGAAAAATCTAGAAATACATTAAATATAGAAAATCTAGAAGGGTGTATTAATTAGGAAGGTTTTAGAAGTATGTCTAGAGTTCTCTACTTTTACCTATAAATACCCACTTGGCATTTGATATCAATCTAATGTGAATTCTCTATTAGAAATACTTTCCTTCCTCTAACTAGGTGGTTTCAGAGTTATGTTTGTGAAAATTGTGAAAATAGAATTAAGAGATGGCTAGTTGTAACTACACTACTTTCCAATATCCTCTTCTTACTAAAGAGAACTACAAAAAGTGGGGCAATTGAATGAAAGCTTTCCTTGGCTCTCGAGGTGTAAGGGAGATTGTGGAGAAAGGCTATAATGAGCCCAGTGTTTTCAAATTACCCCGCCATGGCCGCTGTGGCGGATATACTTGGCGGTTTTTGGGCTCGCCGCAATGGTAAATATCGGCCGCCGCTATTGCGGGTTTTTCCGTTATAATCCGCAATAACGGCGCCGCAAAGTGGCCGGTATGGTGGGATTTTGGCTTGAGTTGAAAAAGAGGTTTTTGCAAAGACAGGAAGGAATGATCAACAAAATATCACCCCATCCATCAAAGTTTGAATGATTCTATGTTAGAGAAGGTTTCTGATGCTCTACTAGTTCAAAGGATGCTTGGGAGATATTAGAGAAATGACTCCAAGAAATTAACGAAGTGAAGAAGATAAGAGTTCAATCCTTAAAACAGGATTTTGAAGATGAAGGATTCCAAACCAAGTGTGATGGTGGCTGTCAATCAAATGAAGAAATATAGAGACAAAATAGAAGATGATTGGTGGCAGAAGATTTTTCGTTCCTCGAGTCCAAATTTCAATTATGAGATGTGTTATGTGGCACGTCAAGAAAGATCCAAGTTGGATGAATGAAGCATCAATCATGCCTTTGTTAGCTATGATTCACATTCTAAAGGATATAAGTTGTACAACCCATGCAATGACAAGGTGGCGGTGAACCGTGATGTTGAATTTGATGAAGTTGCAACATGGGATTGGGATGCCCAAGAAGAAACAAACCATAATTTTCTTGTATATTTTGAAGATGACTAAGAGACCATGGCTGCAACTCTGCCTCTTTCTCTTCATTCACCGACTTTATAAAGAAAGTTCAAGTGACAGGCCAAATAAAATAATAACAGGTTATCCTGAAGAAAGGATCTACATTAAGCTACTATTGGAGTATGCTGGCAAAAGACATGAGGATGAAATTTAATACTTAAGATGACTTTGCACAAAATGAGAGCAGAAGCCCGTGTGTAGAAGAAAAATTTAAATGAAGAGGGAGCAATGGGATTAGTAATCTAAAATTTAGGTGAATCTGTAGTTATTTAGAGAAGTCATACTATCTATGAGAAAATCCAAAAGTACATTAAATTAAAAAACATCTAACAGTGTATATTAATTAGGAAGGTCCTAGAAGCAAGTCTAGAGTTCTCTACTTGTACCTATAAATTCCCACTTCCCCTTGCACTTGGTATTTAACTTCAAGCAAATGTGATTTTCTCTTAGAAATACTTCCCTTCCTCTAATAAGTAGAAACTTAGTCCTCTAAAGTCTTTCCTTCCAAAATCTAACCCACAAAAACACTTCAAAACCCAACCTGCAAACACACTCTTAAGCGTTTAGTCGTGTTGTACATCTGCTAGAGAGATTCCCTTAAAGAAGCTGTGAGACAAACTCCATGAGAAGGAGATAAATGATTATGCCATGCTTTACTTGATTTTATAGAGCTTTGGGTTTGGCTGTGTAGCAAAAAAGTCATGTCTTTTGCACCTCTTTTAGGGAGATTGAAGTGAGCTAGACAAATGTTATTATTAATCATACAACATACTTGTTCACATAATGCATACATGGTTAATTTTACAGGTCTGATGGAACAGAAGTGATGGTGGATAACAAATATCTCAAGACAAACAATCCTCTTTTGGTAATCCACTATCTCTTGGCATTGCTTGAAAGTCTTGAAAATACTTATATGGCACCCTCTCATCTGAAGTTAATGATTTTTTTGCAGCTGATCAATTTCTATGAGCAGCATCTCCGATACAATCCAAGTTCTTAACTGGATGGATAGTATTGAAGGTGGTGGTTTTGTGTGTGATTAGATCTTCCGTTGTTTGCTCTTAGTTATATATATAATAGAATTGTAGATGCAGGGGATCCTAAAGGATTAGGAAGTACGGTGTTGGTTAGCATATGTCTATGTAACCAAATCTTGAGACTTGTTCTAAACTATAGCGATGCGATTCTACATCATGTTTTATCCCCTTTACGCATGATAACAGACCGTGTGAAATTGCCTAGGTTGTGCATTGAACATCATTGGTGTGTTAATATTGTTTCACTGATGGCGTATTTAATGAAGGATGCTTATCTATCTGATTGCATAATCCCATGTCATGTCATGCCATGCATCTTTGTTTCATATTTACCTTTGAGTATGCCTGCATGACATTAAACATTGCTTAAAAGCAACATTTCCTATTTATGTAACAGCAGCAATTCTTGTTTATCAATGTTGGTGCAAGGTGATGAAATTGAGGAATAAGAGAGAAAAATGATAAATGCTATAAAACTGCCACTAATGATTGAAAGAGGATTGATTGTATTAAATAAAACCTAGTGTACACTTATTTATACACAAAAATAGTAAAGATAAGAATGTCACATAGGCCTTAAAAGAGAATATCTAAAAATGATAAATACTAAATTACCCTCTAATATTATCCCGTAATTTAGTAACTATTAGAAACTAACAACACCAATTTCATTTCTCAAATGAGGAAATTGGTGTGTTTTTATTGCCTTCGTTAGAACATTTGTCAGTTGCTTCTGAGTGCTACATTGCAGAACTTCTAACACTCCTTTCTGCACTTGACTTCTCAGAAAATGATACTTCGTCTCAATATGCTTGCTTCTTCCATGCAACACTGAATTCTTGACAAGATTGATTGCAGATTTGTTATCAATCAACAGCTTCAGAGGTTTCTCTATCTCAATCTTCAAATCCTCCAGAAGATTTAGAAGCCAAACAACTTGACATGCAGCTATAACACCTGCAATGTATTCAACTTCACACGTTGACAGGGCCACAACAGACTGTTTCTTGGAACTCCAAGAAATTGGACCTCTCAGAAACTTGAACAAGTAACCAGAAGTACTTCTTCTGTCAACTCTGTCTCCACATCAGTTAGAATCAGAATAACTTACTAATTCTAGTTCTGTCTTTCTTCCAGAAAGAAATGACACTCCATATTTCAGAGTTCCTTTGATATACCTCAGAATCATGACAGCAGCTTGGTAATGAGATCACTTTGGTTTTCTCATGAATATACTAACCATTCCAACTGCATAACAAATGTCAGGTTTGGTATTGCACAAACACCTAAGAGAACCAACCAACTGCTTGAAGGTTATAGCATCCACATAATCACCATCAGAATCTAATTTATGATTGGTTTCTGATGGTGTCACAACAACTTTGCAATTCTGCAGCTTAAATCTCTTCAGAAGTTCAAGTTCATACTTCAGCTGATGTAGAATGACACCCTTCTTTGAGTACATAATCTCCATTCTTAGAAAATATACCATATTTTTCATATCTGTCATCTCAAATTCATTCATCAGAACTTCTTTGAACTTGATTATATCTTCTGGACAACTTCCTATTAGAAATATGTCATCAACATATAGACACACCAGAATCACATTGCCACCAGAATGCTGCACATACACGCCATATTCCATTTCACATTTCTGAAACTTCTGCCTCTTGAAAAACGAATCAATTTTTAGATTCTAAACTTTGGGCGCTTGTTTCAGTCCCTACAAGGCTTTATGTAACTTGTATACCATTCCTTTCTTATTCTTTTTCACAAATCCAGGAGGTTGTGACACATATACCTCTTGTTGTAACGAACCATTCAGAAATGCAGACTTCACATCCAAATATATCAAAGGTCAATTTTGTTTGCAGCTAAAGCAATCACCAGTCTGATTATTTAGTGTCTAGTTACAGGCGCAAACACCTCAAAGTAATCTAGTCCAGATTTATGAAAAAAAACCTCTAGCCACTAGTCTCGCTTTGTGTTTGCCAATTGATCCATCTGGCTTAAGTTTCACCTTGAAAACCCATCTGACGCTGATGACTTTCTTCTTTTTTGAAAGCTTCGTCAGCTTCCAAGTTTTGTTTCTTTTAATAGCCTCAAGTTCTTCCTTCATGGAATTCAAACACACTTTCTTCTTGAGAGTTTTTTCAATACCCACTGGTTCAGAATCTACTAATATGGCACACTGAATGACTTCTCCTTCAGAATCTACTTCAGTATCATGCAACATGCTAAAATCTGCAAACCTACTTTGTATTTGTCTGATTCTCTGTGGTCTCTGAACTTGTTCTGAAGCTTCTCCAGAACTCGGAACAATGCTAGCTTCTGGACCTTGTCCAGAACTACTTCCTTCAGAATTACCACCTTCAGAGTTACTTCTGGAAGCTTGTCCTCCAGACCCTATGTCTTCAGAGTTTTCTCTTCCATAAATATAATTACCACCAGATTCTGGATCATCATCAGAATCTGGATCAGAATCAGATCCACTATCAGAATCTCCATGAGATTCTGACTCATCTTCAGAGTCTTCAGATTCATCTTCTGATTCTGACTCATTTTTAGAACTTTCTGAAGAATCTTCAGAAATTAGCTCTGGTGTTGGCGCTACACCGGAATCTGATTGAAGCTTGTTCCAATCTCATGTTTCTGACTCTTTCACAATAACGTCTCTGCTGATTTCAACTTTGTTGGTTTCTGGACAATAAAGCTTATAGGCACCTGTACTGTGGTATCCCACCAGTAACATTACTTTGCTTTTATCATTCAGTTTCCATCTTCTAGCTTCTGAAACGTGTTTGTAGCATACAGAATCAAACACCCTCAGATGGATAACACTTTGCTTGTCTCCAGTCCATTTTTTTAAAGGAACAATTTCCTTCAGTTTCTTCTTGGACACCTATTCAAAACATATGCTGATGTGGCAACGACTTCTCCCCATAACATGTGAGGTAGCTTCTTCTCTTTCAGCATACTTCTGGTCATATCAAGCAAAGTTCTGTTTCTTCTTTCAGCAAGACCATTGTGCTGAGGAGTATATGGAGCAGTAACCTCATGTTCTATTCTATTCTCCTCGCAAAACTTCTGGAACTCTATAGAGTTATACTCACCTCCACCAGCCGTTCTCAGAATCTTCAGCTTCTGACCACTCTGCTTCTCAGCCTTCACCTTAAACTTCTGAAACTCAGTAAACACTTCATGCTTGAACTTGATGAGTGTTACCCATGTCATTCTTGTGAAATCATCCATAAAAGACATAAAATATTTGTTTCCTCCAAGTAAAGATACTGGAAATGGTCCACACACATCATAATGTACTACTCCCAAAGCATGCTTTGCTCTGGGAGCTACTTCTGATGCAAATGAAAATTTGGGTTGCTTGCCTTTCATGCATATCTCACATGACTTCTCATGCTTCATAATCTTCGAAATGCCATGTACAAGCTTCTTAGAACTTAGATTCCTTAAGCTTCTATAGTTCAAGTGCCCCAACCTCTTTTCCTACAACTTACTGTCACCTTCAGCGTCTTCTGCACTAAGACACTCTGCTTCAGCTGTTTCTACATTCACCTTGAATGTTCTGTTGCTTCCCTGCTCAGACTTCATAATCAACTTCTGATTAGAATTCTATAACGTTAAATGGTTGTCCTTCATAACAACTGAGAACCCTTTCTCAATGAGCTGACTCACACTCATCAGATTGCTTTTGATTCCAGGAACATACCAAACATCTTTGATTAGAATGTTTTTTCCATTCTTCACTCTGACTCTGACATTTTCCATACCTTCTGCATTAAGATACTTATCATCAGCACATTCGATCTTTGTTCTCCTTCTAGAGTCAAAGTCTATCAGCCGTTGTTTGTTCCCAGTCAAGTGGTTTGAACAACCAGTGTCCATATACCACCAATCTTCTGAACACTTTCCATCAGAATCAGAAGCCATCAGTAGCACAGGTTCATCATCAAAATCTCCTCTGTCTATATTTGCTTCTTCTGATTTCCTTCCTCTGTTTCTACAATCTTTGGAAAAATGGTCAAACTGTTTACAACAGTAACATTGAACCTTCTTCTTGTCATACATTTCCTTTCTCTTCTGATATTTTTTCTCATCAGAAGTTGAGGTTTCTGACTTCTGGAATTTATCACCACGTCTATTCTGCTTCCGGTCCTTCTTGATAAAAGAAGCCTTCAGAGCCTGCTCCACTTCCCTCCCAGAAGTTCTTTCAGTCATACACAACTCCTGCGCTTCTAGACTGCTTTGCAACTCTTCTATTCTCATGGTTTCCATATTTTTAGAACGTTCAATAGAAACAACAATGTAATCAAACTGAGGAGCAAGTGACCTCAAAATCTTCTCTATGATTACCTGTTCAGAAAGTGTTTTTCCACAAGCTTTCATCTCATTAGTGATCAGAATCATTCTGGAGATGTACTCAGAAACTTTCTCACTGTTCTTCATGTTGAGATTCTCATATTGCTTTCGCAGGGACTGAAGCTTCACCTTATTTACTGACGCGTCACCACCATAACATCTGACCAGTATATCCCATGCCTCTTTCGACGTTGTCGAATTAGTAATTTTCTCAAACACACTTTCATCCACACACTGATGGATATAGAACAGAGCTTTCTGATCCCTCTTCCTCGTAGCTCTTTCTGCAGATCTTTGTTCTTCAGTAGCATCTGCTGCAACTGGAACATAACCATTGGTAACAAGATCCAGAACATCATGAGCACCAAACAACACACATATCTGTATCATCCATCTGTTCCAGCTTTTGCCATCAAAAACTGGAAGTTTAGTGTTCAAACTACTGCCTCCACTCATCTTAAACATTGCACAAATCTCAGATCTCAGATTTTCACTCAGTGTTTCCCAAACCCACAAAATCAGTGTGATTATGTTCAGATTTTTGTTCAAGATTCAACAGAAATCAGGAACCAAAAATCAAACA